AGCCTAGGAGCATTGATGTAAACCAACCCTTTACTCATAATTTTATTTTGGCTTTAGACTCTTTTAGGATGCCAGACCCACCTGCCCATAGTGTGTACCTCAGCTGGGACCCTACTGTGTTGCTGGGGATCTCACCAACCCACCCAGGATTCTGTGTATGGAAGAAGGGCTCATCCACACTCTTGCCAGCCTGCCAAGGTACTCCAGGTTGGGGAAGGGTGTTCCAAGGCTCCAGTTGACCCACTGAGGTCTCTGCCTGGGGGGAGACTCACTGTGCTCTTAATGGCCTGCCAAGGTTCTCTGGGTATGGGAAAGGCATTGTCAAGGCTCTTGTCAGCCCACTGAGGTACTGTACATGGTGGAAGGGGTCACTGATGCTCATGTGTGCTGCCAAGGTTGTTTGGGTGAGGGTTGAGGTAGCTGATACTCTCACTGGTTGTTGAAGTCTTTTAGGTGTGGGGGAGAGGCAGCCAATGCTCCCCTTAGTTGCTGAGGTAGTCTGGCTCCAAATGTCAAATTTAAATAATGAATTTTCAATAATGCTAAGCACTAAGATGCTATAAGAATCTAGAGAAAGAGAGATCTCATCAAGACAGATATTAGACCCTCAGCACTTGGGAGGTAGTAGCAAGAGGATTAATGCAAGTTTGAAGCCAGCCTGGGCTACACAGTAAGTTTGAGGCCTGTTTAAAAAAAGAAGGACAGGGATATTAGAAAAGGATTCCCAGAAGAAGGGACCTCTTGATACTTACAGAATACACAGACTTCACCCAATGATAAAGGGAGCAAAAGTAATCCCTGCAATAAAACCCAAAGAAACAAACAACAACAGGAGAAAAAAACAGCTCAAACCCAGGTACAGTGCTACACATCTATATCCTAGTACTCAGAAGACTAAAGTGGGAAGATTACAATGAGTTCAAAGCCAGCCTGAACCACATGGAGGCCCTGTCTGAAATGCAGACATATACACATACACACATACAACACAGAGCACAAAGACCCTTTGATAGAAATGAAGATCATGGACATGGACCACTTTTTAAAAATTCCTCAATGTGCCTGAAATGCACACACACTCAAAGAGGCTGCATAATGTAGAATGAAACTGGAGAGGAAGGTGAATGGATGATCTCACACTGCACAATAGGCTCTGTAGTCACACACACAAAAAAGTGAGAAGCAAGACCATACTTGGATTTGCACTATATAAAGGTGATTTCCAGCACAATATGGAGAGCCAGGCATGGTGGTGCACACTTGTACTCCCAGCACTTCTGAGACTGAGGTAGGAGTAGCACCACAAGTTCAAGGCCAGCCTGAACTATACAGTGAGACCCTTGTCTCACAACAAAGCAATACCAAACAAAAACTACAATGTGGAAAGTGATTTGAAAGGGAATCAACATGGTATTAATTGGGAAAGTATTATTCAACATTAGAGAAGCAAAAGTCATAGGTTAAAAAAAGACTACAGCATAGGAAAGTTGAATAGCTTTGAAACGTATTCAGATAAGTAAGTCTATGTGATCAGTTAGGCATAGGGAGTGTGTTAGATATTTATTGTTATGTAAAAACTACTCCCATACTTAGCAATTTACAAAAAATATTTATCTTATATTATCTATGGATCAGAAATTGAGATATAATTTAGTCACAGGGCTCAATCAAAGTGTTGACTAGGGGTACAGTCACATCAAATATGGTCATTGGCAGGTCCCATGTCCTCACTGACTGATGGCTGAGACCTCAGTTCTTTGCCATGTGAGCCTGTTCATGGGGCTATTTACAATTCAGCGGCTCATTTCCCTTAGACATAACAGACGGAGGGAGGGAAGAGGGGAACAAGGGAGTGAGGGGGAGAGAGAGAAAAAAAGAGAGAGAGAAAGAGAGAGGCCATTAGGGAGTGAAAGAAGCAAGCAAAGTGTCATAATATTTTTATAACTCAATCTCAGCACATCTCAGCATTTTCGTAACATTAGAAGTGAGTCAATAGGTCCCACAAGAGAAAAGTTTACACCAAAAGACACGGACACCAGACAATGGGACCACCAGAGGCCATTTTAGAGGTTACCTACCATAGGAAGTAAGGGAGCAGAAGAACTGTGATATTAATCAGTGAGACTGAGAAAGAGGGAGGAGGCCTAGGTTTGAAGAAAAATTCCTTTTGGACAAGAGAGTATGGGAAAGAATAGGGTCTTTCATTAAATCAACAAATATGTGTTTATAAAATACCTACTACATAATAGGCAGTACTCTAAAGGATAGAAAAGGCAGGGGATTCTATTTTAGTTACTTTTCTTGTTGTTGAGACAAAATATCTGACGCCCAAAGTTAAAGGAGAAAAGATTTATTTAGCTCACAGTTTGTAAAGGTTTCAGTTGATAGTTTGCTGGCTCCAAAGCAGGGTAGTATCATAGACAAGTATCACAGAGGAGAAACAGTTCATGACAGGCAAAGGCAGCACAAAAAGCAGCAAGAATCAAGCAACCTCAACAGCTCTCTCTCTCTGTCTCTTATATTTTACCCAGGCAACATGCCCTTAGGATAGGCAGCACTCACACCCAGGATGGGGCACACTTAATCCTCCCCAGAACTATCCCAAACTAAGCAATGGACTAATTTAGGGATTACACACTATTGATCCTAACATCACACATTCTAGATCCAACTACCTCTGAAAAGCCCCACTATGACCACATGAGGCTTTGGTGGACAGGGGACATCTAGATTCTACAGATTTAATAAAATCCATAATAGGGTCTTTCATTAAATCAACAAATATGTGTTTATAAAATACCTACTACATAATAGGCACTACTCTAAAGGATAGAATAAAGCAACGATCGCTGAAAAGTCCTTGACCTTAGATCAATTACCATTTAAGAGTTGAAGATGAATTACATTATTTGGATAATCACAAAGGGTAGAAAGAAAATAAAGTAGGGTAAAGTGTAGGGTATCAATGTATGCTTTTTATAGATCCACATAGTTTATCCCCTAGATTCCTCCTATACTTTCCTATTTTCTGACTCCCCTTATAGCAATTATCAAAATATGGTTAGTATTACAGTGCAAGGGAAGTTGCACTAGTCCAAAAATTGTCCCCCAAAGGATATGCACATCTGCACATCAGTTCTCTAAACTTCCTTAACTGGCAAAAGAATCTTTAGAGGTACTAAAGATCTTAGAGAGATTACCTTAGATTATACAAGTGGCCCCTATATGTCATCACAAGTCCCCTTATATGAGATACACAGAAAACATGCACACAGAGAGGAGGCAATGTGACCATGGATGCAGAGGACTGGAGACACAAAGCCATAAGTCAAGGGATAACAACAATACTGAAAGCTGGTCAAAGTGAAAAAAACAGATTCTCCTTTATAGCCTCCAGAGAGAGGATAGCCCTACAGACACTTTGATTTTAGACATCAGGCCTCTAGAACTGTCAAACAAATTTTTACCATTTTAATCTACTTAGCTTGTGGTAATTTGTGACAAAAGGTACATGAAACTAAGATATTCTTCCAATGTTTTTCCTTACCATTGCATTCATAATGTTTATTACAAGTTGTGATTATGTGCTTATTCATTCATTGTCTTTAGCCTCTTAGTGTAATATCTGAAATATAATATGTTCCTAGGAAATGAGCTAAGTGAATGAGTTGATAAATATTGACCATAAATAACAGATCTTGTAAGACATAGATCATGTCTTTTGATAACTTTCCCCAAAACTCCAGCAGAGCTTGTCAAAAAAAAAAAAAAAAAAACCCTGTCACATTACTCTGTTTGAACTCTAAAAGTCAAATCTATATTCTAGACACTACAATGTATAGCTATGTGATGGGTCTAACACTATAGTAGACTAAAGAGGGTTCAAACAAAAGGTTTGTCCCTTTCTGCTCCTAATCCAATAAGGTGCAGACCCAGATAGCATTCATTTTCGTCCCATACTTGACCCATGATGCTTGACCTAAAGTAAGGACAACAAGTATTTGAGGCTTTGGAGGTGAAATACAATAGTATCAGGGTTCAGACCCAAGCATAACTGAAATTCAGTTCTGCATCCTTGAAAAAACTCTTAACTCCGAATCTCCATGTCCCTAATAGGAAGCAAAGCCATACCTCACAGGTTTGTGAATCACTTGGACCACAGTGGGAAAGCCACGGGTTACTGGTATCTAATTATTACTGACCCTGTGCCATTGACCTAACTCAGCCATGGGTACAACATCAGACAAGAGTTCTCAACCAGAATGGCCGTTGGGGAGCCAAACCACCTTTAGCAAGCTAATCTTTTTGCGCCACAGCTCCTTACCCAAAATCTCGCAATAATACCGCCCATGGAAGAGTGGTTCTGATACTGTAGAAACTAATTACAGTAACCAAATAGTTATACTTAGGACGGTGCCTGCCTCAATACAAGTTATTATTTTGAGCAAAAACAAAAAACGAAACAAAACAAAACTGGCTTTCCAAAGTGAGCAGAGATCGTTAGCAAATATTTTGAACATCTTAGGGCCATCTCAAACAATGAAAGAGTCTAGAAGACCTTATTAGTGGCTTAAGAAGCCCTATTTTGGAAACCTGAGAACCAAAGGCCGCCTGAGGAGTTCATTATTCCAGCACGCCATAGCCTTTGGTCACTTACTAGTGATGAATGTTTACAACCAGGAGCAATCAGATCGAGGGACAAAACTCCAGAAAAGCCCACTATGTGAAGTCCCCCTCAACGCTGTTTCAGATTTGTAGCTGACACAAGTTGCTATCTGCAGAGACCGCGGGCCACCGTGACACGCAGAACCAGTCCTTGGCGTCCCTGGGTTGCCCGGCAACGCCTCTCACGGGCGCCACGAGGGCTGGTCTGAGAGCCTCCTAGGCAGGCGGCGCGCAGGCGCGTCCCGCGAGCCAGTGAGCGCGGCCCTGACGCGCGGGCCCCGCCCCTGCGCGTGATTGAAGGGCGGGGCGACACGGAGCGGGCGCGCGCAGCTTCCCGGGCCCGAAGGGCGGTTGTCTGTGCCCGCACAGCCCGCCCGGATCCGCGTCGCGTAGGAGACGCACAAAGTCACTCCGCGGGGACACCCGACGCCGGCTTGGGCGGCTGCGCCCTCAACTGCACGGCGGCGGGGGCCGCGATGGCGCGGGTTGACGGCTGCCAGGGTAGCTGACCCGGGCCGGAGTCTGAGAGGAGCCCGACCGAGCACCGCTTCCCGCCTGTCGGGCCCGCGGCTCCCGCCCACCCACTGCGGCCGTCGGGGTCTCGCCGCGCGCCGGAGGCCCCGAACCCTGTGACTTAAGTCCCGGGCCCCGGCGGGAATGTTCAAAAATGAGTACCAGGTAACCCCAAACGCCCTCCAGACTGCTGTAGCTGGCTCTCCTCCTGGGAGGAAGCAGCTGGAGATCCGGGTGAGGATAGAGCCCCGCTCCGTAACACGGAACCCCCGGAACGGGGAAGGAATTTATGGTTGAGGGATTTTGACAAAGGAAAGAAAAACAAAGCGTCCAGGGGACTGGGCAAGTAACTTGACTTCTGTTGACTCTGCAGGTCTAGTGCTGGTTTTGATTAAAACGCAGATCTTCCATCCTATCGGACAGCCTGGAACAGATTTTTAAACTTTTATTAGAACTTGTTTGCAGTTCTTGATGAGTACATTCATCGATGGGTGTTGGTAGATGTACAAAACACATTTCAATCTTTTGACTGTCTCTTGACTTCCCCCATCTCTTGATCCCTTTCCTTAAAAAAAAAAACAAAAAAAACAAAACTAGCTCCCTGCTGTCTATCTTGGAATATTCGCTGTTGATCTCTCTGGTATCCTGTATGAGTGAATGCGTGAATAGATTAAACCCGGATCATAAATAGGCACCGTGACTGTAAGCCATTCTTTCAAAATTGGGGTTCAGTGACTCTCAAGCACTGGGGTGTAGCAATCCCTTGGGAGTTATTTGTAAACATGCAGAACTAGTTTTTTCCCCCTCAGATGTAGTGAATCTGAACCTCTGTTGACTACCTTTTTAACAGCTTCCCATAGGTGATTTTCTTACTGGTGGTTCAAGGATCACCTAGAGGAACCTTGTTTCTGGGTATTCCTTAGTCTCCTGGAGTACTCCGCTTACTTCTTCACTTCAGCGCGCATCTCTTTTTTTTCCTGCCCTTCCCAGGCGCTGGTTTCCTGCCCTGCCCTCCCTGTCTGTACTTGAGGTTACACTTCTGTTTACATTCCTGCCCTGAGGAGCTTTCTCACTGGCCTTAAGCAGTCCTCTCCTGGTCTTCAGCTGTTCATGCTTCCGCCTTTTCCCAAACACTACTCATGCTTAGGGTAGGCTGCAATCTTCTTTCTTACAGCTCCACAGTATTATCATTAAATAGATTAGCACACATGTAGAGAATTTGTCACACTTCATGTAGGTAAGTATTTTGTTAAAAAAGCATAAGTCCACTGCAGCAGACAAACTTGGAAAACATAAAGTAAAAAGAAGTGAGGAGAAAAGGTTTTCCATTTCACCGAATATAAAGGGTTACAAAGCTGTCTCAAATTTAAAATTGATAATGAAACTCAGCTTCTTAAAAGCTGTAGTAATTCTGTCCCATATACAGTTTTGCACGTAATACTGCCTAACAAAGAGAAATTAAATATCTTCATGATGATGTTAAAACTCAGAAGCTAAAATATCTTAGTGTTTAGAAAAAAATTAAAAGTTGGAAATTCTTTACAAAAATTACTTTCATTGCTTATAATTCAAGCCACATTTCATCTTTGTCTCAGATTCTCAGTTTTGACAATACTTTTTTCAGTGATAATTTATAATTAACGCTTAGGAATATTTGGTGATTTATCTAGTGATTTGTTTTTATGTAAGCATGTCTGTCTCTTGTTCTTGTGTTAACAATGAAAAATAAGTAGTCTGCCTATAGAAGTCATTTTTTTCTTGTACAGATTGTCATTTTTCTTACATATGTATAAATTAATTTGTATTAAATAGATACTATGGAATGCTCAAAATAAAAATCTTCTCTGAATCCCTTCCGAGCTTTTTTATTAACCAGTACTAAACTAATTTTTCCTTTTTTTGAGTAATACTTAATGGCACTAGTCTTACTGTGGGTTTATGTTTACTATCCTTTGTAATCCAACAACCCATTTTACAGGTAGGGTATCAAAAAATTAAATACCTCCAATAGTTAAGTTAGTGTTAGGTATCAAAAAATTAAATACCTCGAATAGTTAAGTTAGTGTTAGAGCTCTGGTCAGTATTGCCAGAAAGTTTGTATTCGCAGGCAATTATAATAACTTGTTGGCATAGTTCAGTGATTGAGTTTCAGCCTATCAGCCTGGATTCCATAAAATGTTTCGGAAGCCTGATCTGTACATGTCAGGTAAATGAGTCCTACCAGTAAAGTTTACATGGCATAATTTATCTAAATTTCTGATGCTTTAAAAATAACTTCCTTGGACTGTCAATCCAAGGTCATCCAAATCAGAATGTTTGTGGTTAAGATATGAACAGGGCACAAAGGAGGAGTGAAAAGAGGTATAGGGTTTCTTCCCAGACCTATTTAACTGACAGGTGGCTGGAACACTGGGTGTTTGTGGTGTTTCCTTAACTCTCTATTGCCCTTTAATGTAAATACCTTGTTTTTATTTTCTAGGGAGGCGCATTTGTTGAAATCTTTAGTGCTCAGGGGAAAAATCCTGGAGCAAAATGGAAGATCCTTGGCAGTCCGTCAGTGATTTGGAAAGTAAGCACCTGATACAACAGCCACATAAATCATGGGAGGAAATGTGAAGGAAAGATGATAGAAAAAAGGGCTTGATCAGATTTCGTTTCTGTTTTTCCTGTTCTTTCAACTTTGAAACCCTTTTAGGGCGTTGTTGGTTGCTGCCCTCCCAGATGCCACTCTTGTAGTGTTTAAGACTTCAAAACAGTTCAGACTTTTCTCAGTACTCCAGGTCCTCTTCCATCATCATGGGTGACTTCAGTATCACAGAGAAAAGTCTGTCTGAATCCTGAGCATCTCAGTTTCTTGATTTCATCTTTAATGACCTGTTCCATCCACTCTGCTGCAGTATCCATGCCCACCCTAGATCTTCCTGCCCAAACTTCAAGACATCTGAAGTTACTGAGTGAAGCACTAGATTTCCCTCTCTGAGCCCCATCTTTGATTCTTAAGGTTGCTGGGTCAGGTGTTCTTCTATGTTTGTTCTTCAGTCTATTTGGGACCGTTTGGTCATTGACCCTTGTTTAGTTTTATTTATTTTCTCTTTTTTTCACTTCTTTTTCCTTCAACCCAGAAGCCAAATTCTAATTTGAGTCATTTTTTATTTTGGAACAATACCTCACTAAGTTTATAAATTGCCAGGGGAGGATTTGAGCTTGCCTCATTCTCCTAGACTGCTGGGATTACAGGCATGTGCTACCATGCCCAGCCTGGACAGCTAGTTAGTTTGTGAGTCATCTCAGGATTATACCCAGTGACTCTCTGGTCAAGGCTTTCACTCTTGTCCTTTCATTGTGCCTACTGAGCCAACCCTTTCTGAGTCCTCAGTCTTTTGTTTGCCTACATCTGGGCTCCTCTGTACTTTTGGAGAAAATAGCTTTTTAGATTGGAAAAAGATTGGTTATACTATACATCCAGCCTAAATAACCCGGTGTGTTACCCTGTTATGTTCTTTCAGTCTTCAAAATAATTGTTTCTCTATTATCTTCAGCTTTCCAACCGCTTAACTCCCTGCTCTTCATGCCCAACCTACAGCCCAAGCTCTCACTCATCAGGAGAGCTCATGACTACTCACAGGAAAAACTGCCGTCAGCTTGTGCCTCAGGTTAAAAAACCTGTATTTGTCCCTATCCTTTCTTTCTCTTGCTCTCTCCTGTTTTTAGGAACCTTGCTCCCTTAAATAATTTTTAAAGCTGTTATTAATTGAGTGCTAGCTAGCTATGAGCATAGCATTACATTCTTTGGTATGCTCTGTGCTATTATGTAATTGAAACATTACCTCTTTGTGAGATAGGTAGCGGTATACCTGTCTGGTACCTACATGTACCTACCTGGTAGGTAGGCACAAAATTGAGGCATGGAGAGTGTAAGCTCAAAATACATAGCTGTTACTTTGAGTGAGAGATAGGGTACTGCCAGGGAATATAGCACAGACATCGGGAAGGGCTTCCCCAAGGAAATACCATTGGAGTTGTATGAGTTAACTTTTTCCTTTTGTTTTTTTTTTTTGCATAGTACTAGGGATTACCCTCAGAGCCTTCACACTGATTACTTCCTCATCCACCTCCCCTTTTTAAGTGTTCATTTTGAGATAGAGTCTCCCTAAGTTTCTAAATTGGCCAGGCTGGGCTCAAACTTGGAGTCCTTCGGTCTCAACCCCGACTGTTGGGATTACAGGTGTGTGCCACCACATCCAGCTTCTAAGAATCAACTAGCCAGAGTAGAGAAAGTAGACCAAAGAACATTTTTAGCTAAAGGAATAGCATGTACAGCGTCCTTTTATCAGGAGAGAGCTTGGAATTTTCAAGAAACTGAAAAAAGGCCAAGATGATGTGAAGGAAAATACAAGGTAGGAGATGGAATTTAAAACTTGGACAGGGATAGGAGTATGCAATAGTTTATTATCATATTGAAGGTTTTACTAAGCTCTTAAAAATTTTTAAATATATGTCCAACTTGTGCATAAATAGACTAAAAATTTCACCTGGTGCACGTATTCATTTCAAATACATAGAGATACAATGGTAATGGGATATAATAGAAATTTACCTGTTACTTAAATTTTAACAGCCATTAGTTACAGTGCATTGTTGTTAACATATACAAAAAGCCCAAGTATAATGCTGAAGACTCAGAATTTGTGAAAAGGTGTCTTTGTACTCAGAGCTTGAGTATTTGCCTGAGATAATAACCATTCACATTAGCACTTCAATGGAAATACAGCAAACTTTTCATTTCCAAGTTTTTCTTTCCTGTTACTCCCACCTTAGCTTTTTAGGTGACCTTCACTGTAATATTTTAATTCATGTTGAGTTAACTAAATGATACATAGAATGTTACAATAGGTGCAAAATAATGTGTTGATTAATTGTGTTTAAGCCATAGTCTGAAATCAGCGAAATTCCGTATTGCATAGCAGATAGGCTAGGTGGTTTCTTCATGTTCGGTCCTGTGCTGTTAGAATGAATACATAGGTTAAAGGGAAAAGTGGTAGCTAAATTCTGGAAGCTCTGAATTAGTGACTTGGGGATCCCTGAAGTTGGAGAACTTCTTATCATTTGGAAGAAAGATGTCCTGACCCTGTAGGGGAGTTAGCAAATGTCTCAGTAGGGATTTTGTATTCCAGTTCCTCAAGGCCTGAACTTCTAAGTCATTTCAATATGGGAAATTTTGCCTCTGGATCTGCGATTTCAATTTTATAGAAAAAGCTAAGTAAAACATACTTCAATGACCTGTTTTCATTTCATTTTATAGGAATTTGATAAAGAAGTTAAAAGTTTTGTGTTTGTTCTGGAAGGCAGCAGCCAAACAAATAAAATTCAATTACCAAAGGAGAATAAGCAAATCCGTAAGTAAAATTTTTAACACTGAAACTTTGATAACATTATGCATTTATACCTTATAAACAGATACATAGTATTAGTATGATTTTTACTGGCATCTATTGATATGAAGAGATGTGTTTCATTTATTTATTTTTGTATGGAAACTATGTCAGGCACTATTCTAGGCCTTTAAAATATACTATTCTGCCTTTCTACTAGGAATCTAGAAGTATTTTTAAGATTTAGAAGATTATTTAGTAGCAGTTAAGTATGATGATAATAGTATTTATCAAGACTAACTCTGATGAGGAACTTCCTGCATTCTGTATTCATTAACGCTTCCAATCCTCATATAGATGACTAAATTGAGGTTTGATCCTTATTAAGAAATCAGGTAGGCTGGGCATAGTGTACCACACTTATGAGTCTAACACTGCAAGCTGAGGCAGGAGACTGCAGGTGTGAACCCAGCCTGATGCCTTAGCAAGATTCCATCTCAAAACAGAAGAGGCCTGGGGATTAGGCTCAATGCAAAGGCTATGAGTTCAGTCCCCAGTACTGCTAAATAAATATGATAGTTAAGGATAAGTTTTGAAATAAACTTGGGAATTCCTGATTATAGGAAATTAATTTGTGAGAAAAAATTGATCAAAAATACTATGCAAGACTTTCTGGTAACAGTAACTCATATCCTTTGAGGACATTAATAACTAGTTAAGCACATGTAAATTTATGTGATTAACAAAAACCCTGAGTTGATTTTAGTTCTCACTTTGGAAATTAGCATTAACATTTGAAAGCAGAGTTTACCTAAATTTGTGATCAGAACCCCAGTATTGGTAGAGATAAAGTTAAAATTCAAGCCTCTGTCACCAGATTAGGCTTTGAATAAACTGGTGTTGATTTAAGAAATATAATTTATCAAAATGATTAATCATAGTTTCTATGAGCATTCATATGATTTAGGAAATACAAGCAGACAGTTTTTCACATTTTCCATTTAGTTTAGGCTTCCTCTCATTCATTGAATGCCTGTTGTGCACCAGGCACTATGAAAAGAACTGTTGTGGTACCTAAATTTCTTATTTTAACTCAGCTTTCTAAATGTACATAGACTCTGCTTTACGTATCATTTATAGCTACTGCATGTGTGTTTTAGATCCCTAAGATCATAAACCAAGTCACAGAAGTAAGTTATAGAGGAGATGATTTGCTTTACAGTGATATGCCAGGTTGTGGTTTTTTTGTTTTGTTTTGTTTTATGGGTTTTTTAGAGTTTTTGTTGTTGCTGTTTTCAGTTTTGGAGATTGAATCGAGGGCCTATATCCCAGTACAGATTTTTAATATTTTTAAGTATTTTATTTTGAGACAGTACTGTTTGTTAGTTGCCAGGGGTGGATTTGAACATACAGCTGTCCTGTCACATCCTCCTAGACTGCTGGGATTATGGGTATGTGCTAACACACCCAGCTGCCAGTGCGTCTTTCTAAATTACACAAGAAGTAGAGTTTAGAAGAGACTCTTCATAATCCCTGTGTGTGTGTGTGTGTAATGGCAATTTTCTTCATTTCCACATGAATTTATATTTATAAATGAGGTGAATTTAAAAGATAAGCTAGGGGAAAGTGTCTGAAGCTGTACTTTACTGTTAGAAGAAACAGCCCATCCACTTCACGATGTTGACTTCTGAGACAGGAAACTATTTTAAGTCAGTGTTAGTTTGATTCTTGTTGTTGTACTTACCAAGCCTGTCTGTACTTACATTTAATGCCCCAGCATCTATGCACATGGTGATGTTACTGATAAAATCATTCACTTCTTGATTGGCTCTGAGGAACACGTTTCCTCCACCAAACGCTAAGTGATTAGATACAAGCTCTCCTTTCCTGCACTTATCTAAAGTTTTTCCCCCCAGAAACCGAGTTTAATATATTATAATTACCTTTTTTAAATGGAAAAATGATTGTTTTTAATTGCAGGAAGTTGAAGAATCTTTTAATGTATTTCTATTACTTTGCTCTGTAATTAAACATTAATCTTGCTTTTCTGTAGTACATACAGCACTTTATCAAATAAAAGTTTATATACTTTACCCTGTACTAATGCCTTTAAGATTAGTTATTTGAAATTTTTGACAAAAATATATAGCTATTTCATACCTGTATTAAAATAACCTCCCTTGTGAGGTTGGTATATTAAGTTAAATTAAAGGTCATGTTTTCAATTACCATTTCTAAATTAAATTAATTTACCATTATGTATTTCTGTTTTAAGAGTAAGTGTATATTTTATCTATGTAAGCTTGACATTAGATATTTCATGCTGATTCTGACTTCATGGGGTACTTAGGAAAAAAGTTTAATAATTTGTAGATGTTTAACTGTTTATAAACAGTATTTCTGAGTTATCTTCTATTTGAGAATTTCTAAATACATCAGAGCTTTTTCAGTCAGTGTCTATCAAATCGGAGAATGTGATAGGATTGTTAGATTGTGCTCTTCTCCAGGGCAAAGATCTTGAGTTACCTTCTGTGTGCCTCTTACTTAGTGTTTGATGCACAGTTGATGTTCAGTAAGTTAACTTTGCCACAGACACTGTGACAGTTTGGGTTATAATTTCTGATTGTCACCATCTGGCCTTCTGAGAGAGACTTGAGTGAACCATTCATCAGATGTGCTGCGTAGCATGGACTGTGATGTCTGGAGTCGTCCACGTGAGAAGCAGCTCTGATACACATGAGCGTCTAGCATCTGGAAAGTTTTCAAGACTTCCTGTTGGAAGTCATTGCTTTTTCTGTCTCCGGCATTGTAATAAAATGCTGTCTGACCATCAGGCTCCCTGCAGCCTTATGTTGATCTAAGTTTCAGCTGCTTTGGGGGAAGAGGTCACTTTTAGGAGATTCCCTGAGGCCTCCTCATACCCTAACTTTGGTATTCTTTTTAAAATAGTGACTTTCTTCATTTAAAATCCTTCATTGTGTTGATTGTGCTCTTCTTGGAGTCTCTAGTGACTGCTGTATTCCTGAATCCTGTGGCGAGTTCTCAGCTCTCATTTTTCTTCACATATCAGTGACATTTGAGAGAGCTCACAGCACCTTGATGTCCGTCTCTCATGATGACAACCCTATTTCTTTGTGACTTCCTGGTCATTCTTAGTCTTCCTTTGTAGTTCTTCCTCTTGTCTCCAACCCAACGGAATGTTGTCGTAGTGCCCCTGGACTCAGTCTTGGACTCTCTAGTTACATTTACCCCCTTGGTAATTGGATTTGGGTGCGCGGATTCAAATACAGTACCACCTTGTTTTACAGTAATTTACATTTCCAGCTCGAACTTCTAAACTGCAGGCTTGTATGTCAGCCACTCACTCAGCATCTCTGCACAGAAGCTTACATGCAGTAGCGCCCGGCTCCTGGTCTCGGCCCCATAGAAATCCCTCCTCCCGCAGGCTGCGTCATTTCAGTTGTTAGCCACCTATCTTTTCAGTTTCTCATATTCAGAACCCTAATTTAAAACAGTTTCTCTTTTTCTTTATTTTCATTCAGTCATTCAGTCAAGAAGACCTTTTTGGCTCTTTTCAAAGAAGAGTGAGTCTCACCACTTCATGCACCTCCAGGGCTGTTCCATGGCCCAAGTACCTCTATCATGCTTGCATGACTGCAGTTGTCCTCCGGTTGTGTCCCTATTTGTGACTGAGTCTCCCTGTAGTCTGCTGTCCAATTAGCTAGATCATTACTTTACAATTGTTAAGTAACCTTTAAATTGTGTTCCTCCATTGCTGAAAATGCCCCATCTCTCTCAGAGTAAAAACCAAATACCTATAGGGCAGTTAAGTACCTGGTACCCTCTTCACTGACCTTATCTCCTCTTACTCCTTCCCTTGCATGCTCTGTCCCAGCCATACAGGACTCATTTCTGCTTTGAGACAGGCCTGGGGCCCTGTCAGTACGTGTGCAGAGGCTGTACCCACCAACCAGCACAGAACTTACATGGCTTACTCCCCTCTCTCCTTCTCCAACCATTTAGTATGTGCCTCCTTCTCTGTGAGGCCCACCTCACCCATACTTAAGTTACAGCCTTGCTTCAACTCCCTTCTCTGCTCTTGATTCCTCTCCCCTGCTCCACCTCCAGCACCTTCTACTTAAATGACCAGTTAACCCACTGTGCCACTGTTATGTTCCTGTAGTTCCTGTATTGTTTTCTCACCACCATCAAAACAAGCACTAGTGCCAGAGACAGGTTAGCCTATTTTTTCACCTAGAATAGAGCCAGCATGATAGTAGACATTCAAGTAAATCTTCATTGAACAATGACTGAATGAATGCCTTCCCGTTGGTTTTAGGGTGACACGTATCTTTCACATGTGGGCCCCACATGATTGACTTCTGACTCCTCTCCTCTTGCTTTCCCTCTTCTGTGTCCTACCAGCTTGTTAAGCCTTCATAAGTTCATTCTGTTTCCCACATCATTTTCTGTCACAGAATGGAGTAGTTCCTGTGTCTTCAATATTTGCTCCTCTCTCCTACTCTTAAACCCATTACCTGTCAACTCCTTTCTTATTCTACTCAGCTGAATTCCAGTTGTATCTTTGAGAGAACTTTTACTTATCATCCTCCCTCCCAAGCACCCAGCATTATGTGCTTCCATACCCTTGACCTTCTGATTTATGACTCTAGAATGTAAGTTCCAAGAGGACAGACCTTACTTACTGAAAAGATTTATTTACTGCCTAAGCTTCAACAGTGAATCTCATACATAATAGGTGTTCAGTAAGTCTTTGTTGAATGATAGGACTGATTTACTACATACCAGTGATTCTGTGAGATGTAATTCGAAATTGTTAGCCCAGGTTTTTAGATGAAAAGGACCTAGACAGGTTTATTTATTTGACTTCTGAATACAGAATAGTCCATAATTACAGACATAATTAAGTGATGCTAATTTTGTGCTGAGGTACATCTCAGTATACTCTGTGCCAGGGCTGTGATGAATCATGGAATGAATTCAGTTGTTATTTCCAGGGCGTCTGTAAAGGATGGCTGTAATGTAATGTCATCTCAGCTGTCTGGACAGTGTAACTCCTATAACATGTATCAAATGTGTCCCGTCTGTCATTTGCCTTAATGAAACCGGTGTTTAAAACTCTTTTTATTTTACTAGGTAAGTGTGTTACTCTAAAGAACAAAAAGCCTAACTCCTTCAAAACAGGCAGTTTGTCTCCAGCAGACACCAGATTATAAAACTATAGAAACCTGCATGTTTCAGGAAAAAGACAAAATTTTTTACATACATGGACATTTTTGATTAACAGAAGTTCCACATTTAGTATTACTTAGAGAAAATGGTTTTAAATATAATGTAGACATGAAGAGTCTGTTTAACTTTAGTAAGTTCCTGGAAAAAATTATTTCTATGGATTTCTTTGGTACTACTGACACGCAGGATCCATCTGTCAGATGTTACTAAAGTACTCAGTTTTCTATCAGATCATCACAATATTATATCACCATACTTCATTTAATCTTAGAAGTGAAATCTTTTGGAACTTAGGGCTTCTGTTTGTGAGAAAGCTGAATTACAAAGCTCTCTTAAGGGAAGGAATCTTTCATTTTTAAAAATACTCATACAAAAATGCCCTGTTTGTAGCGCTTTTTGTTTGAAGTTTGCCATAGGAGTTATAGACCAGGAGGACTTTATAAACACTCCAAAAATGTACTGTTACTTAAAAATACTTAAATTTGTTAAGTAGACTAAGTTAGAATAGATAGAAAATAGCATCATTTTAGACCACTTTCTTTTCCTGAAGTCCCTGTTCACCTCTTGGCCTGCTGTTGGCTTCTATACAAGTTCACAGACAGAATGGGTATTTACTAAGCATCAAGATAGAAAGCGTCTCATTGCATGTTTTAGGAAATGTAATACTAAACATCTGTTGGGAGTGTCATAACTGAGAGATCAATGAAAGTTTAAAACCTAAGAGGAGAAACATTATGTAACTGTATTTGGATGGCTAATATAAAATCAGTTGACTTTTTTTCTAAAGCAGTTGTAGACTTTATCACAAGGACTGTGGTGGTGCACACTGCTAATCCCAGCACTGAGAGGCTGAGGCAGAGGCATATCACAAGTTCGATCCAGCAATTTAGCAAGACAAAAACAACTTTTTGTCTCAAAACAGTTAAAAAAGATCTATGGTGTAGCTCAATGTGAAGGCTTTGGGTATAATTCCCAGTATCATTAAAAAAAAAAAAAAAAAAAGGAAAGCATAGAGATTAGTTTTTCTCCAAATAGTTTTTTTTTTTTTTATCTAGATGACATTAGTAATAAGAAATAAAAGCTATCAGTTCCTTCTTGTTCTTGGCATTAAAATTATTGCATTAGCAAAGATATTATAAATGAAAATGTATTCCTGTGTCTCAGTGAACACACTTAAAATCATATGAAACAGCTAATCAAAACTTCAGTTGTCATTTTCATAATTAGAGTTGTTTTTCTTGATCTATTGTTTTTTCCTAAATTGCTTAGTGTAGGTAAAACTGTCAGTGAGTCAAGATAATTGCCACATGTTTTTATGGCCACCTTTATGATAATCTATAGGTCAATTTTATATGTCTCTGTTGAGTGCAAGTTATGTGTGTGTTCTCTTGCAGTCTAATAAAAATAGTAAATAAAAATGAGTTTTTTAAGTTTCACAAAAATTTCACCAAGGCCACACATAGCACCTTAAAGTGTAACATTTCATGTTATGATTTGATTTGATTTAATTTTTATCAATTTTTCCATTTTCATAATAAGATTATAACTCATATACAGTGATATTACAGGCCTGTGTATTTCTTAAAAGCTGATAACTTCAGTTTATTGATGATGTGTGTTTCTGTTTGTGTATGTTCAAAATATAAATAGTTTGAATATCTGAATATGTATTCTCCCCTTCTTGTTCTAGTTGGGCTGATCCAGAGGTTTCTTGTACTGCAGATTTATGTACCCCTGGGACAGGACTTCTCCACTGAATTGCTGTAAGATATACAAGCTTCTTTGAATGTTTTATGTGTATGAGACATTTGATCGATTGAAGCAGTACTGCCAGTCATTAATTGCCAGTGGCAGCTTTTGCATTAAATAGTAGTGACTTATCAAGTCGACATGAAGTAATTAAACTAATTTAACCACGTGTCTTAGCTATCACTATACTCCAGCATTTCTCCAGGGAAAGTAAATTTCATCCATTTAAGGAGATGTCAAATAAGTTTCATTTTGACAATAACTGGCCAGTAACTTGGAGAAGTATATGGTCCAGAAATTAAAGACTTGGGTTCACGTGAAGGATGATGTCATATTTTGTACTATTTGTGTTCAAAACTATGCTTGGCTTGTAACTGATTGAAACACTGATTTTTATAGTTTAAACACACAATATTGGTTCTTCATATGCATGTGTACATAATTTGTAATGTTTTTTAAATGGCCTTGCTAGATTGTTTAGCAAAATGAAAGTACACATTTTTACTCTGTTTAGCTACTGTGATAATATACTGTGAATGAAAATAACATTTGACTTCTAAATTTACATAGAATTGAACTGAATATTGTCTAAGATGTCATTAGTGAATTTGAATAAAAAGCCCTTCTAGACCTCACCATGGTCCAGAAAAAATCCCCATTTGTAACCCCATGAAAAAGATACTGGAATTCTAGAAAGTTGATTCCGGTCTACCATTTCCAGTGCAATGCATGGTGAGAAGAAGTACACTAAGGTATTTTGTAGCTGTGGGGAGGCAAGGTGGTCTTAAGTCTAGCTAGAATGGTGGCTAACTGGAGTAAAGGCCTTGCCCAGGGCTGAACCCAGGTTGTATTAATTTGTGTAGTGGGGCGTGGCTCGGTGGTGAGTGACTCATGAGAAAGGCACGAAGTATGTGATTGCCTTTAGCTGGGCTAGATAAGAGGCCTAAAATCACCTGGGGGGGGGAATCAATTGGCCCAACACATTTTGAGGTAGTATCTAATGCTTGCGGTCAGTGCTTCGGCTCTGATGTGTAGTTTTTACACTCTGAGATGCCAGAGCCTCTTTCTCTAGAGGCTGAATCTCTGCCTACAGCGACAGTGTGACTCTCTCAGCCCTGGCAGGGCCATGGGCAGGGCAACACTGCCCTGACCTGTTGCTTTGCTTCAAAGGCTACACACTTCAGCACCTTGTCCGGCCCCATTTACAATCCCTGAAGCTCATTGCTGAGGTGAGGCAATGTCCTGCTCAGCTCTGTGCATACCAATACACAGAAATAGGGCCAGGTTAGCCAAAATGGAGATAATTGCTCTACTTTTAAGGAGGGTCGTCCAGGTAGACTTCTACAAATTTGTGTACTTTAAACTGTTGCATTGAAATTATGCTGCTTTCTACTTTTTTTTAGATTGTGGTTAGCTTTTTATTTTCCATAGTATAATAAGTGACTTGTCTTATCACTGAAGATAATTTTTTACTAGTTTTACTGGTGCCAACTAAAACAGAGAAAAGAGCATAATTAAAAGAGACCATCATAAGTTTGATAATTGTGTCTCTTTTATTGTGTCCACATAGTATACTAATGCTTTGCTGGTATGCTGCTAAAGTATGAATTTTTAATAAGATGCAATCTTGTCTTGGGCAATAATGAATAGATGGAAACTTTTTTACCTTTGTTCAAGTTTAAACTTCTTTAAGTTTCTAAGATCTTTTATCAACTGCTGTGGTCACCAAGATTCTGTAAAATAGTTCTTAGAGTAAGAAAACCAAAGCATTATTTGATGCTCTTATGTAGCACTTTCTGGTTCTGCAGAAAACGCATTTTCAGGACTCCAAAAGCATTCTAAAGATACAGAGAGTGCCTCAAAAAGGTGTATTTTCAGTGCAGGGGAAGTGGTTTCTGAAATGGAAGATGGCAAATTATACAGTAAGCTTTTAAAGCTCCTCACATAGGGTTCTAGCTCCTCCTATTGTGCAGGTCTCTCTGTCACCTGCATTCTGAGCTTCAGACGCACTGATGGAGAGCTGGTAGTTGGCCTTTGGATTAAAGCTGTTCAAGATGTTTTGGTGAACCTTGGAACAGAATCTTTTACCAGTGAGACGTTTCCTTTTGTGCAAAATTAAGCTTTATTTGTACCCCTAGACTCTTGAACTGATCGTTCTAGCCCAGCCAATATACTGTCTTAATAGCAATTAAGGCTTTAATTATTGAGAGGTTATCAAGTATCTTAGTTTAATTTAATGCTAGCAGGAAAGCAGCTGATATCTAAATAGGCTTCACTATCTCCATTTTACTCCATTGATAGTAGTCTTGGCCTCTTGAGGATGGAAAAATATCCTGAGAGATGTTGGCATTAACAATTAGATTTTGAATTCAGCTCACTGTAACTGATTTCCATGTTCTCATATCTACATGGACAAACATTTGTATTTTCCAAGTGGTTTTAATTTTTAGAATTTTAACAAAAGACATATTGATATAGGGGAACAAAACTCCCAACTTAACTATATGTCTAGTATAAGTTATTGTTCTCTAAAATCGAAGAATGAATTTTAGGAACAACGGAGGTTAAGAGCAGAATATATTTATTGAGAGAAAGAAAGCTTTGTCTGGGAGAGTGACAGAAGGGGTCCGGAGTGGGTTGCCAAAGACGGTCTTTTCTATAGATTTTATAGAGCAAAACCAGGAGGTGAGGTGGGTTTAAAGTGTAGAGGGTAAATGGGAACTCCCAAGGCGTGCGTATGGTGGGACAGAACTATGGCCAACCAAAAAATTAATTGTTCAGTTAAAGTTGACCAAACCAGGGACTGGAGCAGTGACTCTCTTGTAGGTGGTTGGGATGGTGGCTCTTCGAGGAGGTCCATACCTATTTAGAATATCAATCCCTGATGTTTAGATTTAGGGTGTGGTCGCATTTGTTTTGCCTTTTGTCTTGAGATCTGGCCCACAGCAGGAGGTGTCTGTCTCCTCCAAGGTCACCAGACATCTGGTGCTGGGCACTGGCTCCCTCTAGGGCCTAGCCCTATCTGATTGCCTATAATATTTCTATCTAATTCATTTACCTATAACAGTATGGACAAGGGTTGAAATTATTAAATAACATGGAGAAGGGGCTCTGTTGTAACCTTGTGAATTTCTGTTTATAAAAGTATGTTGACTGAATTTGTTGATAACAGGTAGTTACAATACATTGCTGTTTTAGGAAGTAATGACAGTGACCATTCTTTCACTGAAAGGAAGGTAGAATGATGAGTATAGATGCTTTTTCCAATCATAGCTTTCCTTTTCCTCCTTAAATGAAAGGGTTTTCTTTCAGCACCTTAGTATTTTACTGTGTTTCTAGGAGCATAGCTCCAGGCTATTTTAAATAATACATTTCCCTAACTGGCTTGAAAAGTCACATAGTAGAAAGATATGAGGCTTCTGAAATTTTCCATTGTCAGAATAGGAGAGGCATTTTGTTTCACAAAGGTGCCTTTTATACATCAGGAGGTTTTTGTAAGTGGAGTTTTGCCAGCTGGTTTATGAATTTAGTAATTATTTCCGCAGCATCTTCCTGTGCTTCTCATGCCCACTGGATGATTAGACTGCTTAGGAAGGAGGTTATACATGGGGGTTAATGATGCCTTAGAACCAGCAACAGCACTGTTTGAGGAATCTTTCATTCATTCAGTGAACAAATTACTGAGTTCCTGTTATTTAATTTGTACAAACCTCCCTATCCTCACTGCTTACCTTTATAAGTCCCAAACCACTATCACAGTATCCTTGATAAGAGTGTTCCAGCTTTCTACTGGACCTCCCAGCATTCTCTTTAAAAAAAAAAAAAAACTGCTGGAATTCTCACTGAACTGATGGTAGGCTCACAAATCCTTGATACGCCTATGTGCTCAAACTCTCATCTCTCCTCTTCTCATACCTCTCTGCTCTGAGCTTATGATTTGCCAGACACACTGGCTTTTCTGGACCATATAGCTTTTTTCCTTTTTCACATGCAAGGTGAGGTCTCTTAGAGTTCTGTGCATAAGTGATTTCCATCTGTTTGTCTAGCTACCTCCTACTCCACAGGGTCCCTCCTTTCAAAAGGCCCTTTTTTTTAACCTACTCCCTAACCCCAAGTGATCATATCTTACATGCTCCTAGCACCCTGTTGTTTCTTTCCTTAATTACAGCTCTAAAAGTTTGTAAATTATGTATTTATTGTTTATGTCTTTTCTGGTAAACTATGAGTTCCATGAGGATAGAGACCTTGTCTGTTTGATGATGCTCCAACATCTAACACATGCTTGGCATGTAACAGGCTCTGAAATATGAGTAGTGGACAGTGGGTGGACTAGGGAATGGCAAGATATATCTCTGTCATCATGTAGTTTATTCTGAGGATGAATGATCAGTTTACATTTTGATAAATGCTATAATGATATAAGAGTGAGATCTGTGGGGACTATGTGAAGTATCAGTATGCGAAAGTATTCTGTGGGTGGACCTGCACTCAAATTCTGCTTTCCTTCTTTGGGACTTCTGAGTAGATTACCTAACTTGCTTCACCTATAGGATGACAGTACTAATATCTCACAAGTGTGTCAGAAGCACTAAATGAGAAAATTAGCATGAAGTAATAGTAACATTTATTAAACACTTACAATATAGGTAAGCTATCAATTAGCCTAAATACTTTATTTTACTCATTCCTCAGAATAAGGATTGTCTGATGGTCAGAATTATTGCCTCTGTTTTTATCAGCAAGGAAGCTGAAGTCCAAAAAAGTGAAGGAATTTGCAGAGCTTATAAATATAACACCTCTTAGAGTCAGTATTGAAATATATTGTCTAAATTTAGGATCTATTCTCTGTTCCACCATGTCATGCTGCTCTACTTGTATATATTATTTTTCTATCTGGCTGTACATACATACACATGTAGTAAATATATAGTCAGTATTTCATTCCAGTTATAGTACAAGATGAAATTTCCAAGCCTTCTCTGTCTTTTTCTGCAGTGTCTCATAATACAATTTT